TCTCTGTCTGCCTTCGTAACACCAACACACCCAACATCGGTTTCCTCTCTTGCCTCTGCTGATTCCACTAGCAAGGGCAAGATTTTGCCCTCAACTATTCACAAGTAATTAATGCATTATTGAACAAGAATAAATAGATAGCAATTAAATAACAAGTATTAATGACTTATTTATTAACATATTAATAGTTGGCCTGAGAGTAATAAATGCAAATTAGTGTAAAGTGGTACCAAAAATTGTGTCGATAATAGGCCCTGAAGTAATCTCGTGCATTCAAGATAATTACAAATATATTTTCCTTTCAAAAAACTACTGCCGGGTAATTTTTTATGGTTTGCTATAATATCATTTTAGAATTAGAAAATTAGCCCTAGTCTCATTAAAATAATTTTGCAGTGCATCAGACTTTATTTCAAATGTAGGTTTCACATTATCTTCTTGCCTATAGAGCTTGCAATTTTTTCAGAAACCCTCTCTACATGCAAACCTTTCGGGCCTGTGGTTGGTATGCTAGTGGTGTTGTTTCAGCTTATTGCTTGTACAACTTTTCTCATCGTTAGTATTATGTGAAAAGTCCCACTGCAATCAGTGGTGGTACCTTGAGGGCTAAATCCAGTAAAAATCACTGAGGTCAGATTTTCTCCTTTTTACCCCTGCTGATAGCAATTCACCTGGTAAACAGTTCAGAGGCTTTACACAGGAGTAAAGGGACGCACAGGGCACCGCACACCTAACAACAAATCCATCCACAACAGACCCCATTCTGAAAACCATCCCTTGTCAGAACCTGTTTTACTGGAAAGAGTTTCCTCCTCTTCATTTTGGGTTTTTTGGGTTTTTTTAAGTCTTACCTGTTTGGGCAGGAGAAATCTCTGCTTGACACTTTGGCTCTGAATTATGACTTGACTTTGGGAAACTGGTTACTGTGCAAGGAAGGCAAGCTATTCTCACTTTTATCAGATCTACCAAAAAAATTTATAAAATGATTGGCTAAAATCCAGACTCCTGACCTCATCTCTGATCTGCTATTACTAATGGCAAGTTAATGTATTCCTGTCTGCCACTGGTCCTGATATTCCTTTCTGGCGTCTGACATACGTGTAACATGCACCCATCTCCGATAAAGAATGAGTAAATATTCAAATCTGCCTCCATATTTATACACGGTTGAGGAATTAGAGGTTGTAACTGAGGGGGCCCAGAATGCTAATTCTGCAAATGTTTGCTTCTACAATGCTTCTGTCTGCCTCTGCAGGTGGTATTTTCACTTCTTTGCAGTTTTCCTCAGTAAAGACATTATGAACGATTTCTTCCAAAACGATCACATGCATTTGTGTACGGCAGGGGACTTGGGTGGCTTTCTCACCATTGCGCCTTCAAAACCCCTACGTAAATGTGATTGTGGCCGTGTAATCTGTGTACCTGGAAATATAATTCGTTTTGTTCTTAATGAAGGTCCTACGGCACAAATTTATTAAAGGTATACTTTTCCGTGGGATAATAATTGGGTCGATAATATTAAACTCATAGGCTCATTATTTAATTGCAAGGGCAGATTATGAATACGGCTTCTAAAATGTATTTTAATGAAAAACACTACATCCTGACCTAATCATATCAACCTTATGCTATCTAATTAAGGATGCAAAAAATCATTAGAGTTGCAAAATATTAGTTCCAGCTCCATCAGGCTGCTAGCTGCCCCTTCATGAATATATATATTTTTTTACTCTATGATAAATACTTAATGAGGTAAAAATGACAAAATTTGCATGTAGGCAAATTAGTTTAATAGAGTGATGTCTTCCCGGTCCACAGAAAGTGACCTTCTTCATATCAAAAGAACAACTAAAAATACTTTGAAATGATCACACAGATGCCATTCCACAAATGACAAATCACTTCTCTGAACAATATAAAAATTATAAAATGCAATAACCTTAAATTCTCATCATACTGTAAATGTGTCCTCTGCTGCTGCATTTATCAATTTAATAAAAGGAAATTAAGCATATTATAAAATACCCATTTATGGGGCAATTTTTAATCCAGAGAATAAAAATGAGAAGCACATGGTTAATAGGAAGAAAATATTGCAAAAACGTAGACCTATTTTTTTCTAGAAGGCTTGACTGACTATTTACTTGAATGACCTCCATTTAAAATATATTTTTTATGTGGAGTGATGTAAGATATGGCAGTCTCATGCTCCCTTTATAAAAATTGCTCACAGTTAATTTGGTATCTTATTTAAAAATTAACACATTAATAATGCACGCAATAAGGTCTAGTGATGTGTCTTCCATACTGATTACTTTACACAATTAGACATACAAAAAAAGAGGGACAAGATAAATACCTTATGCAAATTCACAGCAGAAAAAAAATGGTCTTTCAGTATCGACAATGCCTAGGAGCATAAAAGACCTGAAAATATAGTTCCTAGTCTTGGAGGGAGATATTCCATATGGAGAACATATTTCTGGAAGGGAGTGAGCTTTTGTTACAAAACTGAATTTGCCAAAGAGCTAAGAGAACATTGTTTGACCATTCCCTTTTTGATCAAAATAATCTAAACAAACCAATCAGAGTAGAAGGGGAAGATTTCAGGTTTCTGAAGTACGTTGGTTCTTTTTTTTCACAGGATTTGTGTTCCATACAGGTAGCTCAGGAGTTTTGTGCAATAGTCTCCACTCACAGACCTCCCTCACTGTGAGGCAGATCCTGTGCCCCTGAAATAAAAGGTAGGGATTCTACAGACACCAGCAAACCGCTGCGCTCATTCCACATTAACCCTATATGCTTACACCACGTAGCCTGCACCAGTATGTCCCACCGAGGACAGGGACATTTAACACTGTGACCACCTGGCAGATGTTTAGGGGTGATACCAAGGGAAAGGCTCAAAATTCATGCAGATGTAGGAGTGCAGGAATCAGGAAGCTGGGGACACAAAGAAGGAATTTTGCCTCTCCTCAAGCCGTCCTTGCACCCCAACTGCCCCCACCCTGCTGCTGACGTGGTCCCTTTTAAAGGAGCTCAGACTAAGGTCAGGTACCCATGTTTCAATGTGGGGTTTCATACCTGCCAAGCTGCATGTTGGGAGAAAAACTAGGCACCTACGTACATCTACAGCTATGGACCATGTGTTCTAGTGTTCTCTCCTCTGAAGTACAGCTTATTGCAGCACTGGACAATCCAGATTTCTTCTAATCAGGGATAGACTACTTGCATAAAAAGGAGTAATTTTTCTTTCCATTCTTTTCCATTTGTCTTTACCTCCATTCTCTCTCTTTTCCTCTCCCTCCATCCATTTTCTTTTTTTCCCCCCTTCTCTCATTCAGCCCTATCTGTAAATGCTGCAAGAAATTGTATTTTGGTAATATCACTAGGAATATATTCTTAATGATATTACCAAAATATATTTCTGAAACAGAAAAGTTGCTGTTTGCAGTTGCCTGCTGCACTACTTTCCCCATATGGCACTGGCAGCTCTGTCAGGCAGAATGAGGTTCATTCTATTTATTCTTTGTTTGACCTTACTTAACTTGTAACAAAGGTAATAGAAACCAATCCACAGTGGCTGTCCTTTGACTCACTGTAGCAAGTTTTTAAGTGCAAAAATAAAGGGTTATTACGTTTACCGGGGTAAGGCAAATAAGTGCTATCCGTAAAAATGTGGGAATGCCTGAGACAGGTGGCTGTGGTAATGCATTTACTCTTTCAAACCTTTCCCTCCCCCCTGTTGAAATGCAATGTGGTGCTCTGCACTTTCCCACAAAAATTAAGCTTACTGAGTATCTGCTTTTTCATTCAATTGGCACATTCACCTTTTTATTTTTCCTTTCAGGGTCCAAACTGTCATCATCAAAAAAAAAAAAAGTGAAAAATAATTACAGTTGTGGCAGATGTTTATAGCAGTGACAACTGAGACTATATATTTATATAAACTGCTGATCTTTCAGAGGTAGCTATAGTGACTTGAAAAACCTGCAGACCCTAATCTGAAATCACTTGTTCCAGTGGGTTAGAAAAGAAAACAAACCAAACAACTCATACATACTTAAGAGGACTAATTTCCTTCTTATCTGGAATCTGTTCATTTTTACATTGAAGCAGAAGAGGTATTGAACAAAGGCACATTCATAGATGTCTACATCTACTTCATGAGCACTTTAACAGTTGTCCAAGAGCTATTTTATAAGACAGTCCTATGAGAATTAATAATGTTGATGCAAATCCAGAAAGTAAGGATGAAAGTGTCTCTTACAGAAGAAAATGTCCCTTACAAACTACTGACCACATTACTTTTGCTGTTTTCAATTCTTTAAAAGCAATTATGAGCAGAAGCCTCATTTGTGGATGACATCCCCAACACCAAACATTTTGCAGACATAACTAGCTATCACAGCTTAAAGTCTGCATATGGGGCTAGAGGCTAGTGGCTTAATGAAAAAGAAAGGAATTATTTTGATAACCAAAGTAGAGTAGACCAACTTCAGAACTCTCCTATCTACCTCTCACGTTTGCAACTCCTCTGGGCAACCCTAGAAGGAATGGGCCGGAAAGGAGAGCATGGATATCACATCTGACTTACCAAATTCACAATCTTTACTCAGGGCATCCCCATGCATGCCCTTGCAGGAGGCAAATTCTACTTGTTCATGATGCTCCTCAGTTTGCTAAGCTGGCTGAGAAATCACCTGGGATGGTACCGACATTTAAGCAAGTAACAAGTCTCCAGGATCCAGTCAAGAATCACCAGATGGCACAGACAATTTTTGACATCCGTGATGCCGCTAAGTCTTTAGATACTAAGCAGATTGTAACCCCTCAGGTTGTTCAGGCAATGCACATACAACTTCACAAAATTCTCCTCAAGATGTTTCTTAGCTTCCCTATTTAAAGAAACACCTGAAGAATAATTTTCTCATGTATCTGTGACTATTTTAGGTAATACACAAACAGGAAGTGTCAGTTTGGACCACTACGTGACAGACTTGGAGACTTTGTTTGCCACTCACCACCCGCCTTTCACCGTTGATTCCTCTCCACTGCTCAGCCCTCTTCATAATGTAGCTCAGCTCCTGACTGGAAATCTCTAAGTCCAGAGGAACAAAGAATGTGCCTTCCTCACCATGAATGCGTTGAAATATATCCAACAGCCAGCCTTCGCAATGCAGCCTAAGGACAGAAATGACACATTTGGTTCATCTTTGAAAGGACTCTTCATGCAAAAAATAATAATAAAAATGTGCCTTATCCTTTTGTAGACTTCTAAATCTTGTTTTCCCTTCATGACTATATTCTCTACCCATAAGTAAGAAGCTTCTGCCCACGAGTTCTCCAATATACAACCTTCCCCAATCCTTCGGAGACTTTACTGGAATCAAATCACATAAAGTTAAGTAGCAATTCTTTTTTAATTATTTCAAGATATTGACTTCCCCAAAAGATCTTCCTTTCCTTCAGAAGTGTCCAGTGTCTGTCCTTAGCATTGGGCTGGGTGACTAGTTCCAGTGCTCACATGGAATACCTCGGTTAGGCATGAATGGAAGTCCTGTGCCAGGGCTCAATAAAGGGTAAACCACATCATATGGAAAGGAACTACTCCCCATTCTTTTCAACCCCAAGCCTGAAGTCTATACAATCTAAACATCTCTTGATGTTAGAAAAGTTCATTTCATATGTTGGCTTTGTTTTTCTATGACATTTCTGTGCTGTGGTAGGGAACTGAATAAGCACTACACAGTAAAATTCTCTACCACAAGAAAGGCTTGCTGTGTGGTATTTCTTAATGTAGGTGAAACCAAGAAATATTGTGAGGCTTTTAGAAAAGCCTAGTGTCACATTTTTAGCCTTAGATGAACTTTAAAACTTCAAAACATTGCTGTTTAATTCCACTGGAATCTCTTCAAGTTCATCTCTTTCTCATTCTACTTTTATTCCAAAACCAAAGGTTCAGAAAATAAGGATCAGAAAATCTGGAATCTCAGTCTTGGATGTTGAACTGAGGTCTTCCTTTTTGTATCCTTCTCCAAGCTAATAGTTTACTACAATTCAGCCTTTGCTTGGTGCCAATCTCAGCTTTTCCATCTTTCCCAGAGACTGTCTGGGCACTCAGGAGAAGTTCAGAGAATGTAACTAACAAAAAGCCCAGGTTTCTGTGGGGGATGTACAGGTCCTTCTTTTCTTGGCAGGCCGGGGAGAGAGCACATACACAACTCTTTTAACCCTCTTAACTCTTGTCCTTCTCACACAGAGCAGCACCAGGCGTGGTTCTTGTGGCCGATCCTTATTCTTGGGTCTTACATTGGCATGTACGTGCTAAACTGTGTGTGTACGCGTGGAGGGCAGCGGACTGGTGGAGCAAATCAGAATGAAGTTCACATTTACACTAGCTCTGCATCTCCTCTTACAGCACACACAGTATTTGCAGAGAGGCACACTCAATAAACTGCTTAGAACAATTTTAAGCACAACTGAGATTTAGCTTGGAACAGAAATAAGTAGATGCACTGACAGGTTTTCAACTTGATCTCAGGAGCAGCTTTAGCTTTCTCTTCAAAGAGAAATCGTACCTTAGGGTCAAGCTCAATATCCAAGAATTTCTGTGATGGAGTAGTTATTCTGACACTTAAATCTGGCAACTAGGTTAAACATCAGATTAGGGATTTATATCTCCTACTTTGCTGCAAAGGCCCTCTCTCTACTTTTTTCCCTACCCTTCTTTTCTGAAATATTCCTTTTGAAGTTGCAGCTCTAGATTTGCTGTAGTTTCCAAGATGTCATTTTGGGATTCTCTTATCAGAAGAGGAGAGCAGCTGGAAGATAACCTAATTGAGGTGTAGGTAGTCCTGGAAATAAAAACTGGCTACCAAGAAACAATACAAACAGCTATGAATTGTTAAATGTAAACCAGCACCAAGGTACAGTAGGATACTAAAGTACCTTAAAATACGCTACAGAAGAAATTATTTATTTCATAAATAACTAATATTGGTCATGAAGGAAATTTCCAAATTCCACAGAGTCTTCAAAGAAAAGTTTGTCTCTTGATCCACATTAGATGTCCTTTTCACACAACAGATACATTTTTGCAAATATTGACTCATAATCTAGAATTATCTTTTGCTTAGTTGAAAAATCGGCAATGTAGCTGGTGGGCTTTCTGTCCCTCTACTCATCTTGAAACAAAATATTATATGGGGTTCCTCTTTGGAGTTCCAGGTCAACAGTTTAACTGACTTGCCACATATCTTGCTAAACAAGAAAAAGACTTTGCCATTTATTTAAGCTCACTTAATGTAACATTCTTATTTCAAATTAAGTAAAATTTAATGCAGTTAAATTACTGTCTATTTGCTGCCATAAACATTTTCTATATGAAGATTCTAAGCACATGGCTATAAACAATATAATTAACTTTGAATTAATTAAGAATCGTGAAGCCTGTCTTCCAGCTTTGCTTTTACCCAAAAGTACTCAGGCTGCTCCTGTTACCTCCTTTAATTTTTCTTTATCACTAAAACTAATAAAGCACTTCTTGTTCCTTAATATTATTGTCTTATTTATAAGAAACTATAATTTCTATTGCTAATGCAATAAAGAACAAAAAACCCTCAGATGCTACTTTTCCAGTATAGTATACTGGTATAAGGTATACCCAGTATGCCTTACGAGATCATTTATTTATCAGAAAGAACTAAAAATGTTGAAAGGATTTGCTATCCAGAGTAAGATTAAAAAATGGGCTTCTTGAAGATTTACACAAAAAATTGAAGGGTAGATTAAGTGGTTTAAAACAATTCATTGCATCTTCACTTGAGCCTCTCTCATCTTTTCTTTTTGAAAACAACTTAAAAAGTATAAAAATAATTGCTCTGTCAACATTAAAAAATGCAGATTTTTAAAGATTTTTCCCAAAAATATTTCAATACCAGGAGATTTAGACTCCTTCCAGCAGATGGTTCTGTTTGAGATGGGTCTGTATTTTCTCAAAGCACAGAAAACATTTCACCAACAAATTCCTGACAGTTTCTAATGTCTAGTGGAATTAAAGAGAAAGAATTGCAACCACTGCCACTTAATTTTTCCAAAAAGTAGTTAGACTATCTCTCCATGCTAGATGGACTATGGATTCCCAGGACACCCAAGGGGAGCCAGATTTATTGACGAATGTTGGTTTATAAAGACACAGATAGATGCCTACTGCTGTTTATCCCCTTCCTGTGATTTCTTTAGCTTCCTGGACTGCCATGAAGCGTTCAAGCTGTGGCTGAAACAGACACTGCCCCTGCTTGGTTTGATGGTCTGTTGGGTTCAATCTTCTTATCCCTTTTTACACACTGTTGAACACTTAAGTGTCAAATTGCTGAGTAATTCTAGCCAATGGCACCAATTCTACCACTCAACAGGCAAAGTCTTCCCTGTATACCAGTGTCTTAGGACACAGACGACATCCCTCAATATTTATATAGGTCCAGCTTACAAGAGGAAGACGTGGCAGATGCCTGGGTAAAAAATAAATGGTTTCTGAGTAGAACGACATTATATTTGAACATCCTTGAGATACAACACTTGAGAAATATTCACACAAAGGGATACTACTGCCTTGGTTATAGTAGTCTTTTCCCTTGAAACCAAATGCTGTTATATCAATATTCAGGAAACAATGTTAGGAATTGTAGAAATGCTTTCCTTAAAGATGTTTTAAAAGGCTTTAATGCTATCATTAGTGGACTGACAGTGTGCTGGCTCAAGAGGCCTAGCCAGGTCCAACATACAAGGAAGGGAAGGTTGATCCCATTTCAGAAGCCTATGGTATAACTTTACTCTGCACAGACTGTAGTATTCAAAACATTTCTTTTTGTTATCAGTCAAAGAATTTCAAAGACCTTACGCACTGCAACGGATTTTGTTATCTTCCCTTTGCTTTTGTTATGAATCATTTTAAAAATGTGTCACACTAAGACAACATTTTTTTCCCCTAGTAACAATCTCCCCCCACCCCTTTATTGGAAAACATTATGGGAAAATTGATCCAGAAGGAAAGGAACCTTTGATAATCTTGCACCTGTTCCCCAGACAATGAAGATGTTGGTAATATTCTCATAAAAACCTGCCTTACGAATGTTTTAATTTAAATTAATTTTCCTGAGTAATAAACGACAGCAGCTAAAACTTATGAAGCTATTCAAAACTATTAAGTCAATGATTAAGAAGGCATTAACATCTCAAAAACTAATTAACTAGACTACCAGTACATTGGAGTTGTGTACAGCTTCCAGGAATGCAGGAGCTCTGAAATACTTTGCAGAAATTTAGATTGCCATTTATCTTTTTCTGTCTGCTGCAACAAAGATGGAGGAAAGGAGGCGGAGGGATGATTCTGTCAAATGTAGGGCATGTGCTGAGCTTTTATGTTCTTATTCCTTCCTTGCCTTTGTGTGCAGCTTTTTATTGGTGCTTTCCACCACTCAACGTTCATAGCTGGGTGAATCAAGGGCCAGAAAAATAACTCATGCTGCACTACAGATGAGTCTCTCAGAAAAGAGAAAATATATTTTTTCATTAAAAGTATTAGACAACCTATCTCATTTGCTTTCAGTGTCCCACACCTGTCTCTGTTGGCTGTATAACTTAGGGTGCCTGCCAAGAAAGGTGGCAAGAAAAGTAGCTGGTCAAATTTCGTGATGAACTGAATATTGATAATGGGCTGAAGTCATGGAAAAAATATTTGAGTTAGGTCATTTGAGTTATGTCATGCGTTGGGTTAAAGCCTCAGTCACAAGCCAAAAATCCTGTATCATCAACAGTCTGTAGACTCTAACAGCCACTGCAGACTCAAAGCATGTTGCATTTCACACCATACACAGCTTCCTGAATTTTTCCCTGTTTCTCATGAAAACCCTGCTTGGAAGACTAAAGACAATATCTTCCAAAGTACCCAACTAAAAAGAACATACATTATAGAACTTGAACTCTTGACACAGACACCATTGTCTGAAGTCAAAGGACCAGAGGCTTCTACATTCTCTGAAAAATCATATAAATTATGTTCCTGTTGAAGAAATAACTGGCTCCCACTCTGACTCGTTTTGTCTACAAAATACCAGTGCATTAAAAGTTAAGCAGGAGCTAACCCCTCCTTGATTGTTTGCAATTCTAAGCTCTAGATATGTGACAGTGACTTGTCTTTTCTGATGTCATCTTACTTTATCTTACAGGAGAAGGACCTGGAGTCTAAGCTCCTAATGGAATAATGAGATAAAGAGACATACCTTAAAAAGTACAGGTACAACACTGTCGATGAGATGATGAACAGGATCGTATAAAGCATCACTGTGATTAAGGCACCAGGAATCCCTGACTCCTCTGCTCTTACAAAGACCCAGTAGAGCTTTGCAGCATCAGCAATGGGTTTCTCTACACTGTTCCCAAGTCGCTGTCGTGGGGGAAAAAATCAACATAAGAAAATGCCAAATTTGATTAGACTATTTACTTATAGATGCCAAAGAACCTGAATTTCTTTATAAGGAGGATTTCACTGCAATTTGTGGAGCACACAGCTTGAAACTCAAGAGTCTGCTACAAAGAATTTGAAATTAACCATGAGATGTGAAAAAAATATTTTCTGGTCTATTTTAGTACAATTCAAATCTACTCTGTAGAAGTGGCTTACTAAACAAAACTCATGGCACAGTGAAAATACTCCATGTGACATATTTCAGGAGAATTGGAAGGGGAAGAAGGCTGCAATTTGCCTTATTTCAATGACCGGAGGGCCATAATATTGGAAGATTTATGCTACTGGTTTTAGGGGTGCTGAGTGAGCAGAAAACACTTGTGCCAGTGGATAATTCCAAACTGACCAGTCTAAAAATGACTTGCCCTTGTCATAAGAAAAATACTGGTTCCAACCAGACTCAGTAAGTTACATTACTTTGAACATACACTTTGGAGGATGTATATACACCAATTCCTGATTTCATATCAAATATTTGGTGCTGGAAAACAAAAGTAACCTTCATGTTGTCTGAAATGCCAAATGGCAATATCAGGGCATCTACACGTGTTGCTAGCTGACACCTAGGAGAGCTGTTCTGCGAGCCTTGCAAACAACAGCATCAGTCAAAGGAAGTGGTGAATGCACAGAACTTCACTGAGACCCAATGAGGTGAGAAAAATGGAGAAAGTAGATCAACAGAGGACACCAGTAGGTTTTTGTTAAGTTTTGCCCAAATGACTTGACCTTTTTTCAGTACAAAAAGAGACAAGTTTCCCCTTATGAAGCAGTATTTTAATTCATGGACATGCATTATCAAGTCTGCCTGCAATTTTTTAAACCAGAAAATCAGATACTCTCTTAATCCCCTCACTCCTAGCATCCAGCCAGTCCAATTTGGGAAGCCACGAGGAACTGCTTGTAACATCAAATAATCAGAATGCATCAGCATTTTTTCATGGTATAACTCTCATTTAATTTCTTTCATTCCTGAGAAGAAATAGAGATGCAATGAGACCAATACCACTGAAGAGATCTGACTGTAGCTTACGTCCTACTGCTGTGGTGAAATCAAAGATACCTCCTAACTGTACAAAGTAGCAGCCACAAGTTGTATCATTATTAGCTTCTCCAAAGGTACATGACTATCATATGCGCTACTTAGCTATGCTATTAATAGTTTATGTTCAACTCCTCTGTAAACAAACATGTATAACTATTTTCATTCTACTGAAGGTGAAACAAACCATTAGCGTACTAAATATTGGTAAAGAATTAATATTAACAGAACAAAAATTGTAATTTAACTGGAAATAAGGCGGTTTGTGTATTTCTGCAAAGATTCAGAAAGAATCCTGAAGAGTTTGTAGCACTCTGCGTTTCACTACACCTCTAGCAAAACATGGAAAAGTATTTTCCAAAAATTTATTATTTTGCTTTATCTAGTTCTTAAGAACTAGCTACTGTATTGACATATTATTGCCCTCTGCTGGATCGATTTAGAAGAATTCAGCTACATATCATGGGTCTTCTGCTGCTCAGAGCTAAAATAAATTCCTTTCTTTACTTTTTTCTTTTCAGAGTGACACACTGACAGCCATATCCATATTAAATCATATTAACGCATTTTGCAAGGATGCGAAACTGCACCACCAAAAGTATTTGTCATTCAGAGAGGGAGCCTGTGACCTTTAGGCTTCAAGAAACCTGCACCTTCCTGAGCAACTTGCCTGGACTAATCCCTAGGAAGAGCCAAATCTTTCTCCCTGTTTTTTGCTGTCTTTGCAGTGACATGCATAATACAGACAATCACAAGTCCATCAACGAGCCATACAAGGACTGAGATTCTTGAGCATATTTCTGCTCTTTCCATCCTTGGCAACACTGCCAGGTTTCTGTAATGGAAATTACAAATCCCAGGAGAATCACAATGACATATAAAGAATAGTCACTAATTCAGGTCTGTTCTATATTCTTTAAAAAAAAGTTAAAATACATTATCTCCTGGTTCTATTTTATCCTCTCTTCTTGGGAAGAAAAGAAAAAAAAAAAAAAGCTGTCTGCCTCCACCACTTTCTTACCAAAGAGACTGTCTACCAAGAAAAATCCTCTGCACAGCAGTCACGTCCTGACATTCCTCCAGAGAGGGAAAAGTCTGAATGGCAAAGATGAATAAATTTTTATCTTATCCGAGCATTTTTTTCTGGTAAGGCGTGGGGAAAATGTAGCTTTCCATCTGTTTTTCTAACAAAGAGATTGTGTCAACCTTTCGGTGGTCCACAAAGATGTGATCTTGGAAAGGTGTCTTCATCTGAAATTTTTTCAATAATATCTGTCAATATCTGTCTGAGGTACTTATCACACCCCAGGGCGATGGTCGTGTGAGCACTTTGCAGTCTCTAATGTTTTTTTCTGACGACACAAATCCACGTGGCTGAAGAGGTGTTAACTCTCTGCATTTTACATGCTGCAGGGAGACCAAACAACTGGTTTGGGGAAAGCTTTGGCAGAAGTAGAAGTAGAACTGCATTCTCCAAAATCACAGAGAACTTGCCTATCCCCGAAATATCCTTCTACGAGCTGATAATAAATCAAGCCACGAATCACACATTTGACAGAATATCTCAAACTATGAGTTGAAAGCCCCCAAACATAAAACTGACTCTCTAATCTTCCCTTAATAATAATAATTAAAAAAATCGGTAACAAACAAAAAAATCTTTGTCTCCAAGGTTAACTGTCATTTTTAGTAAGTATTAAGATATCAAAATACATTCTAGCGCTAAAATAACTGATATTACCACAACGCTTTAAAAATGCTTGATCTAAAATGGATTGGCAAGTAAATCTGAAATAGCTGCTGAAAGAAAGCCAGGAGAAAAAAATAACAAATGCAATAACGAAAACACATGTATGAGATATAGTTTCATTTTGGAAAGGATACGCACAGTATATTGTGTAATAGTTGAACAAATGAGTTTGTACCAAAGATAATCTTGGTGGATAAAATTGCCAAATTTTCAGTACAAAGTACAGAAGGAGATGTGGGGGTTTTTATTACTCTAATGAAAAACTTTATCTTTTTTTACATCTCAGGGTTTCCCCTTGACGAAGCAAATAAGTCCTATTTGAAATTGATAATGAATACAGTCTTACTGGGACTGAATACAATTTGACGGAAGTCAATGGTAGCGGTTTTCTCAATGCAAATGTGGGAAAGACAAGGCAGACCTCAACCTTTCCTCTAGTTTTTATGAATACACTAGAACTGAGGGTGAACAACTTTTAAATATTTAAATATCTCTAAACTGGATATTGAGGAAATATTCCTTTTTCTCCTAGGAAAAAAAAATCTGTCAACAGAATAATTACAATTAAAATCCAAATCTGTGCATGGTTTACAGAATGAAATAAAAAATAAAAAAAATAAAAAACAAACCACCAACCAAAAATCAGCAGGCTGTCCAAGCAAAAACTACAGTGTGCTTCCACATGCTTAAAATATTGCAATTACCTCCCAAGTGAGCCCAAATAACAGCTGAATTTTAATTTTCAAAACCACTGCAATGGGAAACAGGACATAAATGGCAGAAAAGCACATTTTTAACAAGACTTCTTAAGACCAGACCACAGGTTAGTAGATGAGGAACCAAGAGACCTGAAAAAAACTTATCCATCACAAAGACTGTGTGGAATATTGCGCGATCTGGAGTAAGCAACAGAGACAAAAGTGTCTTTGAAACACAGACAAGGGCAGACCAGCAAAACTCCACTCCCAGAAAAGTTCTCATGGTGTTACGTCCATCAAAAGGACCCCATGTCACCTACACAGTGAGAGCCAAAACTGAAACACGTTCTGGGAGAGTGGGCATTACCTGCGATAAAAATCCCCAGCTGTCAAAGTACAGGTCTACACAGTGTGTACGTAAGCACAGACTGGGAGGTTTACCCTCATGATTTTGTGTATGGTGAAGCTCTTTCCTTAAAGATGTCTATCTTTCAATCTCATGAGTCTTTTTAGGTGTGCCAGTAAATTACCTTAACTGCCTTGCATGTCAGAGAAGTGCACAATAACCTTTATTTTTTCATTTTGTCTGTTTCAGTGCTTAGAAAAATCTGAAGAGCTAATAATCAGGACTGCTCATTAACCCATCTTCATTAACATCCAAAATTGCAGTAATCCTTTTCAAAGCAGATGCAATCATTCCAGTGGATTTACTTTCTTATCTCCATATATGGCTTGTACAGTGCTCTTAATTTTATGCAGAAACACAGTGACTCCATTAGATGGGAATTTTGTTAATAAAAAGGTAATGTATAACATTATTATTTAATTTCTTTTCAACTTTCATGTTCCATTGCCAGGGGTGGAATTTCGTATCTTTCAGTGATTCACTGAATAAAACAAACTTCTACGTCAAGGTCTCATGTCCAAGTTATTTTAAGTGACTTACCCCCAGGAATGAATCCACTATGAACACTGCCAAGGGGTCTAGCACTGTCCAGAGTCCCATAGCTATGATAAACTTTGACAAGAAGGAAGGGAATGAATCAAACAGCTGCTGACAGCCCCATCTGATCAGGACCATAAGAAGTAGCCCCGCGATCAAGGTTAGGGGTCCCACCACAACCATGACCAACTCTTCACCGGTCTGCAGCAAGGAGTTCTGGTAGCACAGTTCGACAGTGTGAGGCAAAAGCCGGAATCTGTAAACAAGCAGAGGGAGAGAGTTTGTCCGTGCTCCTGGGTGAACCATTAAGAAAATAGAATCATGCAATACAGCATGTGGCATTGCAAAGTTGCATCCCTATCCTGGTCCCTTTGACCAAAAACCGTGCGAAGCTCCTCAAAAACATGAATTTTTTCTCTTCCTCCTGCCTCAACATCCTTTCATCCCCTGCCACTGTCAGCCCAGTGGATGCACCTCCAGGCCCTTGGGACTCTGCAGACAGGGCTACAAAAGATGTTAGCTCCCAGAATCATCCCTGTGAACACAGGGCCCAGGAGCTCAACCTTTTCCACACACTGAAGCACCTTTGAACACTGCACAAAGCAGAAAATGTGACACGGCAAAGAGCTTTTAGCATCCATAAAGTGTGATGGGAAATGTCACTTTTATGGCATGGTCGGATTTGCAAAGATCACACAACGTGCAAATTTGTTGGCACTGTAGGAGACAAGGAACCGTGTGGTATTGTGACCTACATGAAGATGCTGAAATTTAAGGTATAAATTTCACTACCACTGTATTTGGCAGGAGAAGAGCGAGCTCAACTCATTATCAAGTTCTGTGGACACCCAGCTACAGGCTGGAATGCTGATTCAGGGCATCTTGGCTTGGGAACATCATCCTTTATCTAGCTGACTGCTCCAGACAGCTGTGATTAGTGGCTTTGAACATGACCACCTCTCTATCGTACATTGCTTCCTTCTGTTGCATTTCCTTTGCTTTCACAGACTCTTGATGCTTGGCCTCCCAGAAGTTTTAATGCCAGCTGGCTGAGCCTCCCTGGGCTGCTCAAGGCCAGAAGCAAGACATGGTTGACTTTGCATTAAGATCTAGAAGATGACCTTAGCAATACCTGTCCAGAGTTTGCTCAGACACCCTGTTGAATTTTTAGTCAATAATCCCAGTATCACAGCAGGCATAGGTCACTGAGTTGCATGTTACTGGCTCCAGCTTACTAATTGACGTTTACATGATGCTTTAAAGTGAAGAGAAAAAAAAAAGAAAAGAAAAAAAAAGTTTCTGCTGCAGAAACTTTCTCTTCCTTAAGAACGACTGATCTTTTTTTGCTCTGTAAACCCATTCTCTATCCCATAGCAACATATGGAGAACCAGATATCTATCACCTTGTGGATTTGCTCTCCATCTTTCTCCTTTTTTTTAATGTCAAGTAATGACAAGTAATGATTTTCCTGGAACTCTCTAGAGGGCTCTGACACCCGAGCTAAAGTCAATGTATCATATAGTTAAAATATGTCAACCCGTTGTAGTCCTCACAATAAAATTGATATATCAAAGTTAAGTTCTTCAAAGTATTTTAACTCATAGATCACTTTGCTAATACCAGATATGATTTAAATGTTTCTTCAGTTCTGTGCACTTCTTAGGCATTTTGAAATACTTGATCCAAAATGATAAATGATTCTTGTAGAAGATACTTAAAGTGCTGGATGTCTCAGAGGAGAGAGAGGTAGGCATGACCCAAGATCCACAAATGGACATATCCTGTTCTGTGTTGAAAACTGACATTATCAACACCTTCACCTTTCTGTTAGGGTCACATTGACATATCAGATCATCTGGAGTCTGAATGTGGTTCTTGTGCTCCTCGTCTCTGCAGAGACTCCTATCTGGGCTTGCACGCAGAGCCCTTAGCATGACTCTTAGTCATCAGTTCTCTTTGTAGGGCAAAGGAATTGCTTTGAATCAAGCTGTTTGTGAAAAATATTCCATCAGAGAAAGAAGGCAGAAGCACGTACTTTGTAACAGGAACCGAGATGGTCTGAAGGAAGACCCATTGGCTCAAATAGTGCAGATAAAGTCTCACGAACCAAAGCAAAACCCCCAGCAGCACCAGCAGCCAAAAGTCCCCAGAGCACCAGCGTGCAGCCCTCAGCTCCGAGAAGGCTGTGTGTACCACAAAATGGAAACGCTTGACAGCCTGCCTGGACAGTTTCACTTCAGTAGCAGAACGGCAGCTGGAAATAAATGGAAATAAAACAGAGAATCAGTTGGGAAAAGGATATAAGAAATAACAGTTGCTGAAACCCTGCAGGGTCCTGTTCTACAGAAAGACATGGCACAGGTTCTGATCTTAACTTCTGATTGACCAACGCATCCAACAGTAAAAAAAGTAGAGTGTTTTTTCCATTGCAGCCTAACGATAGGTGGCTTCGTCCCAGAAATCATACCGCTACTTTTTAAAGAAAACAGCAAATCACATTTACATTCAAATTTTTGAAAGTCTTTTGCTTTCACTTTGATTTTAATTTTCTCTCAAATTGCTCTCTGATCAACACTTTATCGCTTATTTTCCTTCTGAGAAAACAGTAAAAGAAGTTGTCATATTTGCACTGAAAAAGTATTGATTTTAGTGAAAGATGTGAACAGATTTTTGGTGTTGGGGTAAGAGAACTTCAGTCAAATATTTCAGCACACAATGTGGGCTAAAAACTTCTCTTTAAACTAGTTTCAAGCGAAAGGGAAAATAGAAAGGAACTTGCACTGTACAGTGTTCTGCTACTGAGTGTGGTGGGATTTGCCCTTTAAGCTAATTGCTATACTGCTTCAAAGGGGAAAAAAAAAAAAAAGAAATGAGATTCAGAGATGCAGCTTTGGCATTATGTTTCTAAGAAACTGGAGTCTCTCAGCTGATTCAAAGCTGAAAAGACAGTAGCTTCTTTGACCTTTGGAAACCTCTAACTGCCATGCCTCTTTCTACTGATTTAAATGACTAAGCAGCTGAGATGCACAACTCTAGGACTAAGTATGATGTCATCATGCTCAAACTCTTATTTATATTGATTAAGCCTTATGAAGGTTCAGAAATATAAAGATCTTTTTGTGGAAGAAAACACGCTGGCTTTTTAAGTGTAGCATATGACTGGAGAAGAACTGACAGCTATACTTGCACTTTTAAAGCATTTTTAAAGCATTAAAGCACTCTTAAAGCATTTTCCTGTCTACAAATGAATTTCTTAAATAAATTTCTTTCTCTAGCAGTCACAAAGAGAACTGTGAACAGAAGTGGAGAAACTTCGAAGGATTCCGCATTTAGTCTAGGTTTACATGAGCAGGAGAAATAAAAAACACCTGATCCTCGGTGTTGAGCAGGACGCATGTGTAGGAGAAGGCATGCTGTCAGCCAGCCCCTTTTCTCATGAGAAGGAACAAGCTTCAGTTACATGATTGGCTGAAGAATAGGAGGAGAAGCTTTCAGGGACGCACCGCGAAAAATAGGTTTCAGGTCGCCACGAAGACCTCGAGGACAAATCACCAAAAATTCATACAGACGCATCTGCTGGGCTGAGACAAATGACAGGTTGATCTGTCAGGCGTTTTCAAGGGTTTTTTGAGACCCTGCAGCCCACATTGTTTATGTCATAATCAGTCACAAAGTCCTGCTTTACAGACTTAGGGCCACATTGTGAATTACTTTGGTCTTATTGTAATTATTTATCCACAGCAGCCCACAGGGACATCGTAACACATTTCATTAACATTATGAAGTCATAGTCTAGGCTTGTGTGAGAAAGAGACAAAGGAAAATGTAAAATAAGAAATATGATTGATTGTGGTACTATTCTACAACAACTGTGGCATTCTAGATGTTCTGAACTCTGAAGTTAGATTGTACTACATTTCCTTTCATATAAAGGAATTTTTGTCATCTTTAATAACTTCCATCAAAATCTACTCTTAAAGTATTGACTCCTTGAGAAGAGTTAATTGAACAGGATTAGGCACTCAGTTATTTTAGTTAGACCAAAGAGTTTGTGCAAAAAAAAAGGAAGAAAAATGCTATCTTAGCTCATTACAGTCTTCTGATCCTTCATCAAACAAGCAGATTTACACAGACATCCCACCCAGCCTTACCCATATCAGAAATCCACATCCGACAAGGATCGCTGCCAATCTTCATCTCTGTGCTGAAAGCACGAGTAACCATGTATTTTCCACAAAAGTTCTGCCTCATTTCACGTAAGAGTCATCGACTACTAGATTATCTAATCTCAAGATATCTCTTAACAAACACCACTAAAGTGAAACATTCAATGTACCACGTGTAAAATGTTTCAAGGCATAAACCCTTCCTCCAACCCAAAACACACTGATTGAGAAGGAGAGCACACAGCTTGGAGTGCTGGAAATACTGAGTCCTCTTTCATTCACAGCAGTCCTGGAATACCAAAATCACTGAGAAAGGTTAGTGACCAAAATGCTGGCTTGGGAAGGTGAGGCAGCTTCTTCCACATGGAGGCAGGATCTGGTGATGCAGTTACGACTGTCACAGGATTTGCATGAATACACTTACTCCAACTCTGCAACTCACTGCATGGAAACCGCTTGTGTAAATGCCATGAGCACAGCATACAAAGTGTGGCTATCGAACTATCTTAAGACTCAGGCACCAATGAAAATCTTCAGCCCGTGTCTTCATTACTCCACTGCTCCTCAGCCTACTTCCACTTTCATAGAATCACAGAATGTTCAGGGTTAGGAACTTGAAAGATCATCTAGTCCAACTCCCTGCCAGAGCAGGATCACCCAGGACAGCCACACAGGAACGTGTCCAGGCGGGTTTTGAAAGTCTCCAGAGAAGGAGACTCCACAACCTCCCTGGGCAGCCTGTGCCAGGGCTCCAGCACCCTCACAGTAAAGAAGTTTCTCCTCATGTTGAGGTGGAACTTTCTATGTTCTAACTTAAACCCATTATTTCTTGTTCTATTGCTGGGCACCACCGAGAAGAGATTGTCTCCTTCCCTTTGACACTCACCCCTCAGATAATTCTGTACGTTAATGAGGTCCCCTCTCAGCCGTCTCCTTTCAAGGCTGATCAGCCCCAGGTCTCTCAGTCTCTCTTCACAGGAGAGATGTTCAAGTCCCTTAATCATCCTCGTAGCTCTTTGTTGGACTCTCTCCAGTGGGTTCCAGTCTCTCTTGAACTGGGGAGCCCAAAACTGGACACAGGATTCCAGGGCTGGTGTCACCAGGGCAGAGTAGAGGGGGAGGAGAACCTCCCTAGCCCTGCCGGACACACTTTTCTTAATGCCCCCCAGGCTCCTACTGTCCCTCTTGGCGACAAGGGCATGTTCCTGTCCCATGGACAACTCACTGTCCACTAGGACTCCAAGGTCTTTCTCCACGGGGCTGCTTTCCAGCAGGACATCCCCTAATCTGTCCTGATGTTATTCTTCCCCAGGACAAAAGAGAGCTAATGTCTCCACCCGTACGCTGCATCATCCTTGCTGAGATGCTGGCACTCTCAGCCACAGGAATCCACCTACACAACAAACTTCCTAAGGAAAGTAGAGAAATATAGAGCATGCTTGCTGCTGCCAAACCCTAGAAGCCTTCTACTGGCAATGACTCTGCTTAAACCAACAGTTGCTTAAGACATCTCTGATGTCTTGTCTTTGATTCATCTTTCCTCTGAAAAAAGCAATAGCAGCCCATAAACTCAACAGCAAGCTGAGCTTGCTGGAAGTCAAAGACATCCATTAGGTGGAACCAAATAACATTAATTTTTACTTTTGGAACAACAATTAATTTTTTTAGATTTTTTTTAAAGATTTTTTTAAGATTTTCATCATGCATCTTGACCATTATTTCCAGCTTTTAAATGGCAATTAAAGTCCTCCTTATTTTTTAACTTGTCAAAAGTCTAGATTCTGTCACTTCTGTGCTTGTTCTTCCCTTTGGCTCTGTGACATCTTGATTTGAACACCATCAGCCAGTGGAAGAAATTAATGGAAAATATAGCATATCCAGTGACTCAGCGAAGGTCCCAACCCGTAGCTGGAATCTCTTCATTTACTTTAAAACAAATTCTGTGGGCCCCAACCTATGTGTAAGTTACAGCAAACTATTGTTGAGTACTCATTAATCACACTGTAAGGCTGTTTACTGGTTGTCACTTCAAAATGATGTGCTTAAATTATACCTTTTATTGATGTTTTTGAAGAATGAAGAAAGGAAAATGAAGAAACACAAAAAGAAATGCACCAAACAAGTGGAAACAGCCCCTTTAAATATTTTTTAGCTGGTGCTACTAGTGAAAGCTTGTGGGTGGAGTGACAGCGCTTTCAGATACAGTTTTCAGAAGAGATTTATATAAAGTTGCTCTAGGGCAGAGAGCATGAGTATTACCTTTCAAAAGCAAAACAACCCCTCCACCCACAAAAAGCCCAAATCTCAACCCTTGGGTGAAAACTATATAAAGCTCCAAATGAGAAGCCACTTGAGCAATGGATTTATCCGTGATTTCTTGGATTACTGGTAAGTAATTTGGCTCAATGTTTCTGTTCTAGGGCATTAGTTTTGCATTTTTCTTTGAGAAATGCTGCAGTAACAAATAGCAGAGACCAAATTACCATAAAAGCAGGTCAATTATTTCAATGGAAATTGTTCAGAGAGAAAGAAACGATGCACAGATTCTCTTAAGCTACACTTGATGATGATGACAGAAAAGTAATGGCTGATAGAAGGCAGTGTGTGCTGTTGGGGGTGACAGCTTTGCTACTGACAAACTACAGCAAACGTTGGTATAATCCTCTGCAAGGCTGGCATTTAAAACTCATGGTGGGGGCAGGTTCTTAGCTGGTGCAACCCATCTTGCTCCAGAGCTACAATGGGGTACACCACCTGAGGTATTCAGCCTCTAGTCCTGAATGTGTCTATTATTTACATTGCATAAAATAAGGCAAAATAAATGTTTTATGCTACCTATACAGCCAGAGAAGATTTAAAGAGCAAATGAGGACATGAATGACATAATGCAGATTGCTTTCAGGGAATCACACCCCTCACAGCCCAAAAATCCGTGCAAAATGTTTAATCAATTCACAAATAAGAGAGATGCTTACCCATCATTGGCATAAATGGTAGGCATTTAAACCTAGCCATAAAGCTTTTTATGGTTTACCAACAGTAATAGAGATATAGGAAATGCTGCCCAGTGTTACCACAATGAAATGTTACCACTTTTAGTGGAAAAGCACACCTGTGTCTGAAGATACATCTGAAAAGAATACACTAATACATGGAGCCCTTAAAATTGAAACCGGTTAAAAGCACCACTGATGAAGTATGAGGCAGAACAGAATCTGACTCATTCCGCTGTGCACAACATAAACGCATATATCGAACATATAATTTTATTAGCATTAGAAGGAATTTATTATTATTCCTTCTGCATAATATTCTGCCTTTATAGATCTCATTCTGCATTACAAAGAAATTGTCTTTGTCCCAGGCTGTATGGTGATCATACAAATGACTTTGTCCTGTAAGCCAGCGGCAGAGCTGTGAACTGAGCTCTGCCAACTTGCAGTCCATTATTCTATCCACTGGATTCCTAATAATATATTACTTTTTTGTTTATTTGTATGCAAAATGAATATAACCAGGGAGAACACTTGCCAAGGATGAAGACAGCTTTTTCTCATCTCTTTCCAGGACATACTTAGGCCTCTTTTTGCAAGCACCAAGAGAGTGAGTACCAGAAACAGTTACAGGGGCTATCTAGGGGCTATCTGCTGTAAAAGAGGTGACAAAAGACCTGAGGGGACATTAGGTAATATGCAAGTGCCCATCAGAAAATTTGTTCTACAGCTTACTGAGGAACTCCAAAAAAAAACTACAGAAAAAATGCTGGAAAACCCAACAAGTTTAATTTTTTGGTGCACCTGTTGTGGGGAAAAAACAAACAAACAAACAAACAGAAAAACCAACGGCCAGAAGTCCACAAAATCCAAAAACACCAAATAAAGTCTTTAGGAATTAAACATTCTTACAAAACAAACAAACAGAAAAACCAACGGCCAGAAGCCCACAAAATCCAAAAACACCAAAGAAAGTCTTTAGGAATTAAACATTCTTACAGAGCAGGAAAAACACTCAGCCAGTAACTGCAATAATGGGTTTGGGCTGCTGCAAAGAACAGGATGCAAGTATGAGAGTGCACCTGGTAACACCCACGCTGCCCCAGCAACCTGGGGAAGAGGAGGGTGATGGCAGCCGAGATCCTTTCCAAGAACCAGGTTGTGCCAGCTCACGAGGAGATGGCCAGCAGGCTGCGAGCTCTGGATCAGCACCAGCCCAGGTGCGTTTGCATCACGTGCGTAGCCGGGAGCCAGAACAAACACATCAGCTGAACTTTTCCCACAACCCACTCACGCCAAGTATCTCACAGGGATACGTGCTGGCACAGGTCTTGTGTTGCAGGGACCAAGATGTTCTTCCATATGGGGGGATGGACACCGTGGGTCAGTGGGCCAAGACATGTTCATCAAAGTGGAAGGGATGAAAGTGCTGATAGATTCACATTCCTCTGGATAAATCTGTGCTAGCGTCAAAATGGTGGACAATCAGCTTTCACTATAAGAGAGTTTATGACAATGGAAAACTGGCAAACAACAGCAGATTCCGGTCCTCAGCAGTCCCCTTACCCAATGGTGTAAGTCTGGCACAGAAGCCCATCTTCTGCCTTTAGCTAACTAAGAAATTCCTGAGGGCATTAACTGAGATAATCACAAGAAGAGATTTCTTACCAAGCTGGGGAAGGAAGCAAAAGAAGAAGGAAGAATCACAAAATTTAAGCAGAGTGGCAACAGTGCTGGAGGACAGTGTGGCTCCTTGTAGAGAGCTGGCAGAGCTTTGCACATTTCAGCTTTGAGCAGCATCTGACAATGACAAAGCAAAAATGACAAAAAACAAATTATTGTCGTCAAGCCTGCAGTTTAGGTAGGCAACTAAAACTTTGCCTATTTCATGCTTAACTGAATTTTCATGAGCCTACTGGCTTGGCAAAACAGTCTGGAAATCTTACAAGAACAGACTTTGTTAAAATATTCCAGTCTGCCTGGTTCCAGCTCTGGATGGGAACAAACATGAAACGAGGAAACTCGAGTGCAGCTTTCAGAACTTTTAAGAAGCTCTGTTTTCTATTTTACTCTAGAAGGGAACAAAAGGCAG